AGCTCCCTCTACACTATCCCCCCCATCAAACACTCCCAGGACAGGGACAGCACGGGGTTAGATACAGAGTAAAGTTCCCGAATTAAAAATGCTCTGAGGGATTTTTCAAGGCTGCAGGTCCTTCTCCAGCCCCGGGACCCCCTCCCTCTCAGTACTGACACACGGAGGCCGGGCTCACCTTCGAGGTTCGCTCGATGCAGCCGCTTTCGGTGGCGGGGGGTGTTTCACGTCCAGTCCCCCACAGGGCCTCCCGTCCTGTGGTCAGATCCGTGGAGGAAGAAGGATGAGGTGTTGGGGTTGGGTGGTGGACAAAGAGAAGAGACGCTGTGTGAGCTACCAAGGTGGACAGAGAGAGGGAGAGCTGTCCCTGGTAACAGGGTGGGGTTGAGGCCTGGCAGAGTTTGCGAGGCACCATCTAGAGGAAGTCAGGCTACATGATGAGGTGAGTTTCGCTTCCTCCTTGCACAGCAACGACAGGCACAGAGAATGTAATTAACCCTTGGCCTGCCAGCAGCATATGCGCCACATGCTGAGAGACTCAAGCAAGCCCACCTCATACGCCCCATTGTGCTCCTCGGGATCTTTCATGATCACAAAAGACAGCGCTTCAGTGTCGGCCGTCCGACGGTGCCCGCTCCCTCAGCGCCGGCCCTCTGATGGTGCAGAGAAGGAGAGGGAGAGAGAAAGGAATACAAAGAAAGCACGGTAGAAAGAGAGCGTGTGTTACGGAGATGGGGGAGGAAAGGGTGGGAGACGGCTCGGAGATGGACAGAGGCAGTGGAGAGGAGGGACCGAGAGGAAGAGATAAGATGGGTGAGGCAATGTGAGGGGAACCGAGGGAAAATCAGCAACTGGGGAGAAGGAGGGAGCTGGATGTTGTGTGAATGGGAGTGTGTGTGTGTGCGCGCGCTTGTTTTTGTGTGTGTGTGTGTGTGTGTGCGCGCGCTTGTTTTTGTGTGTGTGTGTGTGCGCGCGCGCACGCGCGCCTGGCGGAGTGCTGAAAACAATGAGACTTGTTTTGAGTGGAATAAAGACTACCCGCTGTGATGAGGTTGTGGGAAACTTTGGGAGAGTTATGTATCCTGTAGGAGGCAGACTAGTCTTCCTTGTATTGTTGAGGTTATCTTGATAAGTAAGTGGTCATAGAGACTGAATAAGCTGCATCTCGTTTGTTCTACATAATTCTCCGTGTTAGATCAGAAGGGGGAATCTCCTCTTACACTATACTACCCTGAAGTATCCACACAACACAGAAGATACAGACACCAGTGCACTCCACGTAGCGATTTGCATGTGGTCTGAAGAGTTCATCTAGCGACACCTGTCCCAACAAGACAAAGGCGTTGGTAAACCAGGTTATGTCAACAAAAAGGGAAGCTTCCATTTCCGAGGATAAAGAACTAAAACAAAACACTTGCAACAAAACTCAACACTGAGCGTTTCTTCAAACAGATTAGAGAGAGGCCAGAACAGGAAAAAAGTTTCGCCACTCCAGGAGGCTTCGTGAAGTAGTGCCATGTGGGAGTAGTCTGCAGGACGAATTTAACTGATGAGTCAGCAGGCAGCAGAGGGTCAGAACTGATAAATCCCCAGTACAGAGGAAAGACTTTAAACACTGCTGTGATTCTGGGTGAAAAAGCAAGAGCTTTTTCAGTGTGTAAAGCCCCTATAACAAATCACAGGCGAGCCATCGTTATTACAAGATGAAACATGTTAAAAGAGTATCTAATCACAATGGGACATTGCATCAGAATTTGTACGGCTGGGCTAAATAGAACACCAGATCGGACATCTTGGAGTAAACAATTCTTTTGGTGTAGAACAGCTTCTAAGCTGCATGCTAAGTCAGAAGCTGAACAAGTAAATGCACTTCTGTGCACAACTGGGAATATAGCAGATGATGCTCCTGCTCTCCAAGGGTTCAAAGAGGCACCAGACCTTTCAAAGAGTTCCTGAAACCCTTGGACAGTTAACTCAACCGTGGAACTAGTAAATATTGATTTTTTTCAACAATTCTAACTGGGGGAATCCACAGAGGATTCCTTAACAATTTCTACAGACGAGCAGAGGGATGTGACTACAGTGAAGTGCACAGGAGTCTGAACTGTATTACGTGTACCAGGTATTGCTGATGAGTCTTTGTCAGACCGATGACAGCCCAAAGAAGACCGAACTCTAGAGAAGTCTATTTACTCAGAGAGACAGTGGCAACAGAAGTCTGGAAGAAACACAGATCATTCTAAGGGGAGAATATAAACTTGACATGGGAGATCTTCAGAATGTACTCACTACGCAAAATATAGAAGCACATGATAAACCAGTGCAGTGGTCAGGACAGAGGCCAGGACCTTGCTAATACTGTCGACGTGAGAAATGTCACAGTTGTGAACAGTATGGAATGCTTTCTTTGCAAGACATTAGGTAACGTTCAGAGAATGCATGGAGGGCAGACAGAACAAGCAAAGAGACTAGAGAATTGTCCATTCAAATTGATATACGGGGTAGAGCAATCTCTGGTAGAAGATAGACCCAAGGTTTTCCCCAGGGGAAATCGATGATCCAGAGCAGGAATGTTGGCAGGTGGACATTTACATCACTGAGCATCTCACCAATTTCAAAGTTAGACACCAGAGTGACAATGTTCATATTATGAAAAGGTGAACCTTGGTGGATGAAATACTACACACAGCTGACTGGACTTCAACCATGTGGCCCAGTGGCATCGCACTTCATAGTAAATACACATTCATAATGATTTTCTAACACAGGGTGCACCACAACAGTCAGAAAGCTACACAAGTGACACAATAGGTCCCTTTCAGAGAATGTGTCAAATCAAGACAGAGCCACGGGACAGCTATATAAAAAACTGTACAAACAGAGAGCGTGGTTAAGCTACAACACAAGTATTGTATGCAGTTCTGGAATCCACATGATACCAGAGATATCATAGCACTGGAGAGGAGATTTACCAGGATGTTGCCTCCTGCTGGGGAAGTGATTTACCAGGATGTTGCCTCCTGCTGGGGAAGAGATTTACCAGGATGTTGCCTCCTGCTGGAGAAGAGATTTACCAGGATGTTGCCTCCTGCTGGAGAAGAGATTTACCAGGATGTTGCCTCCTGCTGGAGAAGAGATTTACCAGGATATTGCCTGGTGCTGGAAAGGAGATTTACCAGGGTGTTGCCTGGTGCTGCAGAAGAGATTTACCAGGATGTTGCCTGGTGCTGCAGAAGAGATTTACCAGGATGTTGCCTTGGGCTGGCCAGTTGCAGACTGGCGTTGTTTTCCATAGAGCAGAGGGGATTGAGAGGGAACATGACTGAGATGTATAAAATGATGAGGGGCATAGATAGGGTGGACAGGAAGAAACCTTTCCCCCGGATGCGGGATCATTAACCATGGGGGCATTGATTTAAGGTGAGAGGCAGGAGGTTTAGAGGGAAGGGGGGTGAAGATGTGTTCACCCAGAGGATGGTGGGGAATCTGGAACTTGCTGCCTCTAAGTGTGGTACAGGCAGAAACTCTCATCGTTATGAAGAAGGATGTGGGCGTGGATTTGCGATGCTAAGATCGTGGGGCAAATACAAAGCCAAATCATTAGATGGCCGCTTTTGACTGGCACAGACTCAATGGGCCAAAGATGGAAAGCTGTGACCATACTGGAGTGAGGTCAGATCCCAAGCTCCAACAAACCTGGAGAACAAATGTAATCAAAGAGGCAGTGGCCAAACAGGGTAAAATGTTAGTGACTGTAAGGAGCGTGGCACAGTGACAAATGTGTGACAACAAATCCACTCGCTTGTTCAGGGGCTGGGAGACACAGGTTTCAGTGGAATATCGATGTCCTCATCTCACAAGGAAGAATCGTCAGAAACCACGACGGATATCACTTGTAATACAAGTGAGGAAGTGGACAAACTGAAGTTAGAAATATATCAGGATAGATCTACAGTGAAAGGTTCAAGATACTTAAAGATACAGGGAAATGGGGGAGAGGGAGATGGTGGGGAAAGGGAGACTGGGTGGAGGGGGTGACGGGGAGAGGGAGAGGGAGATGGTAGGGCGTGACGGGGCAAAGAGGGAGTTGGGGGGGAAGAGGGAGTTGACGGGGCAAAGAGGGAGTTGGGGGGGAAGAGGGAG